AGGGAGGGAGGGAGGGAGGGAGGGAGGGGAAGGGAAGAAGGAAGGAGGGAAGGAGAAAGAAAGAAGGAAAGAGGGAAAGAGAGAGAAAGAAAGAAAAAGACAAAAGAAGAAAGAAAAAGAAAGAAGGAAAGAAAGAGGGAAAGAAAGAAAGAAAGAGAGAGAGAGAAAGACAGAAAGAGAGAGAAAGAAAAGAAAAAGCAGCAAACAATAAGCTCAGAATCCCAGGGAGGAGACAGGACGGAGGGAGGATGCCTGGCTCGTGAGTGGGGAGCTGAGGACTGCTGTCACAGAGCCAGGACACTCCTGTGTGGAAAAGAATATAGGATGAAAGGACCATAGCCTGGGGTCCCAGTAGAGTGGGGACTGAGCTTATCCCACAGGGAGCAGAGGCCTGAAGAACAAACTCTTGGGAGGCTTACTCGAATGTACTTGATGGTCTGCTTTGCACGGTCATACCAGAAGCCATAGTCAATCCAGAGGCGAATCAGCTCCAGGGGTGGCTGGGACCCAAACATGTCCTTAGCAGGCATATTTAGGTCATCCATAAAGGTGATCATGCTTTTGCCCCCGAATGGCACGTAGACACCCTTGGTTCTCTTCTCAACCCTGCTCTCAATGATGCTCTGCACGTTATTGGATGTGGTCTGGTGGAAAGGTACCGAATGAGTGTGTGGGTTCCCCAAGAGAAATATGGGCTTGGAGAGGAGTGTCAGGCAGGTGCTTAGATCCCGGGGGGCACAGAAGGCAGGGAGATCGGGTGGAGCCGAGCGCCTGGCCCCTGGGTCCCTGACACACCTGTGCAGACATGTTGACAATCAGCACCGACCACTGGCTGGAGGGCAGGGACTGCAGAACGCTCTGGGCGATGGAGGTCTTCCCGGTCCCCACAGGACCCACCAGCAGAACGGGATTCTGGTTGGCCACCAAGGTGCTCACCAGGTAGTTGTAGCGAACAGTGTCGACAGTGGGCACCATGATCTTATAGAAGGGGGCGCTAGGGAAGAGCAGAAGCCAGCTCTCAAGGACCACCAGCCCGCCACTATCTATTCACCCCCCTGCCCTCCTGTTGGGCCTGAGGAGCACGCACCCCCCTCAAGGACCCTGTCCCAGGCCCTCTAGGTCCTGCTTCCTGTCCTCAAGAGGCAGCCCTTCTCTGGGACCCGCCTTCTCCTTCCTATGGCTCACTTTTGCTTCCAGGACCCTTCTCTCTTGCCACATCCCCCACCTACCGCCGCCCCACGCCCTCCTCACACCTAGGCCCGGCTCTCACTTTGGAGGGTAGCGCCAACTCTTAGGGAGCTTTTCCTCAAATGATGTCCAGTTCCGCATTTTAGGGTCCACAAAATACTCGTATACCGTGTCCTAAGGCGTGCACACAGGTCAGGTTACCAAAGCCTGCTTTGAGCTTTCCCCAGCCCAGAGGATGGGCCCCAGACCACTGGGTGGAAGAAAGGGAGACAGCTGGGCTGGCAGGCTGAAACCTAAGCAGATCTGAGATTGGGGATGCCTATGGGTTCTGGAAAAACAGGGCAAATAGGACAGCTGGGTGTGAGTGCCCGACCTTATTGGGAAAGGAGCCCTCGATTTCTCGGAGGTAGCTGTCAATCTTCTTGCGGCCCTCCTCATCCACAGAGGCACACACAGACCAGATCATGCTGAACACAAATGTCATCTCTACCATGGTGACATAGTTCTCGCTGTCAGCTGGATTCACCTGGATGGAGGACGAGAAGAGGAAATAACCCACCTGTAAGAGATGAGGGGTCTAGCTGGCAGGCTCGTGACACCAGAGTGTGGAATCTTCCTCCTTTCCTGGCCCTATTTGGAAAATCGCAGTTTTCCAAATGTGCATGTTTATCCACAACCTGCTGAAAGACTGAGACAAACCTGAAATTTCTTTTAGCTCAGCAGTTGCCCGAGCTTCCTCACTGCTAAGTCATAAAGATACAGATATCATTCGGCCACAACAGCCCTCCCCTGGAAAAGCACCCATGGGTGCTCAGGTGACAGGTCCAGGAACATTCGTGGTGACTTGTTTGTAATTGCAAAACACTGGAGATGACCTAAACGTTTGCCAGCAGAGCAGTGGAACAAACTGCAGTGTTCTACCATGGAATCACAGACATTAGTTCAAGCAATAAAATGAACCTACATGTAGCAATACAGAATTCAAAACATATTGTTAATTTAATGGGCATGTTGCAGTATATAGTATGATTTTTTTTTAAATACCACCATTTCAGCCAGGTGTGGTGGCTCACGCCTATAATCCCAGCACTTTGGGAGGCAGAGCCGGGTGGATCACCTGAGGTCAGGAGTTTGAGATCAGCCTGGCCAACATGGTGAGACCCCATCTCTACTAAAAATATAAAAAATTTGCCCGGCATGGTGGCAGGTACCTGTAGTCCCATTTACTAGGGAGGCTGAGGCAGGAGAATCGCTTAAACCTGGAAGGCAGAAGTTGCAGTGGGCCGAGATCACACCACTGCACTCCAGCCTGGGCAACAGAGTAAGACTGTGTCTCAAAAAAAAAAAAGAGTAATCCTCTATCCTATAGGTGGGAAATTATGTTAAGTAAGAACTGACTGTCTGCCAGTTTCAGTCCAGAATCCTTAGTCTGTGCTCCCAGCCCCTCTCAGCACACAACACATCGCACCATCCTCATGGTCCAGTCCTCTCCTCGATGTCTCTGTCACACTGAAGAGCATATGCACACAAATACCACCCACCACACCCGGCTACAGACCACCAGCTCGGCCCCCCCACCCCGCCAGGCCTGACTCCTGTGTGTCTGCACTTCTGCAAAGGCCACCCTTGCCCTCTGCTCACCCAGGAAGCCTCCCCCACCCAGCCCATCCTCTGCTATCCAGCCCGTTCTCCTTGGCACCTGTGTGCCATTGATACTCATAACTGCCTCCTCCCCACACGGTACCTGGCAAGTCCATCTACATTTTTTTTTTGAGATGGAGACTTGCTCTGTCTCGCCCAGCTGGAGTGCAGTGGTATGATCTCGGCTCACTGCAGCCTCCGCCTCCTGGGTTCAAGCGATTCTCCTGTCTCAGCCTCCCAAGTAGCTGGGACTACAGGTGCGCACTACCACACCTAGCTAATATTTAGTAAAGATGGGGTTTCACCATGTTGGCCATGCTGGTCTTGAACTCCTGACCTCAGGTGATCCACCTGCCTCAGCCTCCCAAAATGCTGGGATTACAGGCGTGAGCCACCTCGCCCAGCCCCATCTACATATTTTTAATTTATATTAACTGTACCAGGAATGACATATGTTCCTATAGATCTTAATTGTTGTCGATGATATATTAATGGTTTAATTACCTGGCAATGTCTTTAAAAACAATACAAACCATTTCTAGTCAGTGATTTAATCTCAACAGAAAATATCAAATTTTGGTCCTTACTTGTTTTTTTTTTTTTTTTTTTTTTTTTGCTGGGAAGGTCCTTACTTCTAAATGGAGCACAATTTTTCCTAAATATCAATTAATCTGAAATGTTAAAAAAGTCTTCTCATCAGAATAATCTGGGAGCTTCTTCCAGCAGAAACGGTGTCTCAGGGCCTCATCTATGCCAAAACTTAATGTTTATATTTTGAAAGGATGAAGTGAGGAGTGGAATGAGCTATTTTCAGCTCCCCAAGGATGGGTGGGAAATTCTAGTGAGACCCAATTGCGTACATATTCAGTCAGGCCTTTCAGGTCAACAGTCACGTGCACACACACCCACATACACACACGCACATACACACACATGCACACACACACGTGCACACACACACACCCCTCACTGCCTCCACGGTTGTTGAGGTCTCCCTTGGAGTCTCTGCTCCACTCAAGCCTAGAGTTCAACCTATGTCAGACACACTGTTTCCCAGAAGTTGTCATGGTGCGGCTGTGAGCCCTCCCTGCCCCTGCCAGTGCTCTGCATCCTCCCCTTACCCCGTTCTCTGGCGTGGCCAGGGCCGAATACAGCTTGCAGAGGGAGATGATACCACTGTACTCGGGCAGGGGCACCAGCTCTTTGCAGTTGTCCCTCTTAAAGGCCAGCATCTTGTTGATGAATTTCTCAAACATGCGTTGCAGGGGCTCCACCTCAGTCTGGAGTTGAATAAGAAGGGGCTCTCATCCACCCTCATGTCCTGGAGGCCACCCTGGTTACTTTCCCTCTCCTCGGTTCCCTTCATACCTTTGGCCTCTTCTCCAGCCACGACTGAACATAGGGCTTCCAGCCCAGGTCGACATAGTCAGTGTAGACCATCCCGCAGCGGGACACGGTGGCCGGAGAGGCCACTGCCAGGTTCTCCACTTCGAAGAGGAGAGATACCTAAGGATATACGTTTGTTAGAACCTCGTATTTCCCTGCATCCCCCACCTTCAGTAATAATAAAACACTCAGAACTCGGATGCCACAAATTTACAAACAATATGCTTTTTTTTTTTTTTTTTTTTGAGACAGAGTCTTACTCTGGCAGTGGCGTGATGCTGGCTGACTGCAACCTCCGCCTCTCAGGTTCAAGCAATCCTTCCACCTCAGTCCCAGAGTAGCTGGGACTACAGGCGTGCACCACCACACCCAGCTAACTTTTGTATTTTTTAGTAGAGACGGGGTTTTACCCTGTTGGCCAGGCTGGTCTTGAACTTCTGACCTCAAGTGATCTGCCTACCTTGGCCTCCCAAAGTGCTAGGATTACAGGCAGGAGCCACTGGGCCCAGCCCAGTTTGCTTTAAAAGAAATTAGAGCTTATTCAAGGTTGTTCTCGTGAAAAATGACTCTCTTGTTCGCATTGTTGGAGTGGGTGGAAAAGGGTGTGCTTGTCAGTCCTGAATTCGCACACCAGGGTGTGCAAATGAAGGTCCTGCTTCATGTGTCCATGGGAACAAGCTGAGGACGGCTGCCCAAGCCTGCACAATGCTTATAACACAGTGTGGTATTATTATTTTTTTTTTGAGACAGTCTTGCTCTCATTGCGCAGGTTGGAGTGCAATGGCATAATACTCTTGGCTCACTGAAACCTCCGCCTCCCAGGTTCAGGTGATTCTCCTGCCTCAGCCTCCTAAGTAGCTGGGATTACCGGTGCACACCACCACACCAGACTACTTTTTTGTATTTTTAGTAGAGAAGGGGTTTCACTATGTTGGTCAGGCTAGTCTCAAACTCCGGACCTCAGACAATCCATCCGCCTTGGCCTCCCAAAGTGCTGGGATTACAGGTGTGAGGCACCGCACCCGGCCACAACAGTGTTTTTCTTATCATTGTTCTCATTAGTCATGGCAAGCAGAGCATTTTTTCTTCAGCTGCAGGTTTCCCTGAATCCAGGCACCCTCCTCCTCAGTTCTCTCCCGCAGAACCTGCCCTGCTCTGAGGTTTCTGGCTCTCCTCCCCAACCCCAGCCCATGCTCTCCCGTGCTGGCCTCTGCAGGCCCTCGGGAGTCAGCCACACGCCTGACCTGCTCGGGCATCGAGATGCGCTCGCCGTTGATGAGGGTCAACACCTTGTTATCATCCATGACGGAGTTCATGCTCTCGATCCACAGTGTGTCCACAGGGCCATCGAACAGGATCCACTTCTCATCGGGTTTCTCATCTGAGTAGACGGTGGGTGACAAGGACACCAGGGAGCCACTCACCTCGCACCCTCCATCCATGCTCCTCGGAGACACAAGCTACGCTTCCTTGTCCTTTGCCATTCCCCAGATATTTCTCTGGGGACTTGGAACTCCCCATCCCCAGACTCCCTACCCGCTTAGAGGATTCAGGCCTCTGCCCTCTACACTCCATGATCCTTCGGATACCTGCACATGCTGTCCGCATGACGCTGGACAAGATGCCATCTGTCCATTCATTGGTGTTGAGGTCGTATTCCCCATAGAGTTCCCCTAGGGACAATGCCTTGGGGTTCAAAGGGAACTCCTGAAAATGACACCAGAAGGGTTTTAGCTGCTGATAGACAAAGGCCCCCCTTTATTTCCAGCTGCCTGCATTTGCCCCTCCCTCATCTCTCCAGGCCTCCGGGGACCCAGCTCCAGCCCTCCTGGCCTTGCAATGTCCTCCGTGGCCCCGACATTCCACTGTCTTCTTACTACTCAAGTCTCTGCCCCTGACTCCACTGCCCCAGCCACGTACTCTAACAATGTTGAAGTTAGGGTCTCCAGCACGACACAGGCAGGACAGGGAGGCCTGCAGGATGCGCCATGAGGCAGTCTTGCCACTGCCCGTGCAGCCCACAATCATGGTGGAGTGGCGGGAGTTCTTGGTTTCGTACAGCTGGAAAACCTTGGTGAGGGTGAACGGAGTGTTTTGCAGGCCCATGTCTCGAATCTCCTGCTCAACGGTCTCCCGCAGCTGGGGGAAGGGAAAACACAGCAAGTGGAAGAAAAAGGATGAGGCCTTCGAGGACTTTCAAAATCTCCCCAGTGCCAGGGAGAAGATGTTCAAATGCTAACAGTGGCACCAGGGCCCTCTGTTCACTCAGTGGGAAGCTGGGCAGTTGCAGAGTTGAAAGATTGAGCTCTGCAGTCCGCCACCCTGGTTCCCCAGCTCTCAGCTATGTGACCCTGGATAAGGGACTTCTCCAAGCCTCAGTTTCCTCATTGGCACAGTGTCTTACATGTAGCTCTACACATTTTTTTCTCTTTTTTTGACACAGAGTCTTGCTCTGTCGCCAGGCTGGAGTGCAGTGGTGCAATCTTGGCTCACTGCAACCTCCGCCTTCCCAGTTCAAGCGATTTTCCTGCCTCAGCCTCCCCAGTAGCTGGGACTACAGGCGCGCACCACCACACCCAGCTAATTTTTGTATTTTTAGTAGAGATAGGATTTCACCATGTTGGACAGGATGGTCTCGATCTCTTGACCTCGTGATCCACCCACCTTGGCCTCCCAAAGTGCTGGGATTATAGGCGTGAGCCACCGTGCCGGGCCAGCCCTACACATTTTTTGTTATTATTCAGCAAATATTTATTAAGCTTCTACAATGTGTGCCAAGCACTGTGCTGTGTGCCAGGGATACAGCTTGGAACAAAATAGACTTTGTCCTATTGCAGAGCTCACAGTATGGTGGGAGAGCTTGATTAATATTAAAGACATTATTACCTAAGTTAAAAAAATAATGCTTGAAGAACCATGACCTAACAGACCGGCCCCAGAATAGTCTGCCCTTTTTAAACACCCAGCTCATGTAGTCAAATAATTTCAAATAGATGCAAGATTGTTACTTGCACTAACAGGCCTCGCCAATATCACTTCCTTCCACTACCTGAGAAGTAGTTTTATTAGTACGTTTTGTGTGTGCACCTGCGTTTAGTGTCATAAACAAGTTTAATGTCACATTTTCTATTTATTCAGTCAAAAATATTCTCAGCTGGGCACAGTGGCTCACGCCTGTAATCCCAATACTTTGGGAGGCTGAGGCGGGCAGATCACCTGAGGTCAGGAGTTCAAGACCAGTCTGGTCAACATGGCAAAACCCCATCTCTACCAAAAATACAAAAATCAGCTGGGCGTGGTGGTG